AATTGTATCATTATCGAAATCCGCGTCTGTTCCGATATTGATACTAGCTGTTGCTGTTCGACTGACATAGTTGACATCACTATCGTCGGTTAATGTTTTATATTTTGCAACCGCTTGTTTCCATTCATCTTCGCTAAGTTGGAAAAAGGGTCCACTCGGATGTTCAACAAGAAAATTAGATAGCATGTGGCTTCGACCACGACCTTTCGAAAAAAACGGTATATTTTCTTTGAAAAACCACCGTTTTGGACTAACTTTTCCACTTCTAAAGATTGATTCATCGTGAACTATTAAAGATAAACATAAAAAGAACATAATAGCAATTATATCAAAGTGGCTTCGATTGGTGCACTCCCATATAAGTATTCTATGAGGATTTTGAGTCGGCATATTCCATATTGGTGTTTCACCATCAGTAATTGTGTAATAAAAATCCTTATGTGTTAGAAAATAATTAATAAATTCATTACGATGTTTCACAACGTCATCTCTTTCATGTCCTTCAAAATACGGACGTTGTGAGTTCGCTTCGAATTTAGCCCCCCATCTGCGGAGATCTAGACGACAACTTCTTTCCGATCTTATCAAATCATCGTTTGGTTGCTTTTCAATTCCCGTCAATTCATAATATGTAGTATCAATGAACTGGGCCAGGTCTGCTGCTTTGAACTCTGCCGATTTTTGAGAACATGCTTGGACAACAAAAGCTTTAGTATCTGACTCAATCTCGGGAAATTTGTCGTAGAATGAGTCAGTCTGTTTAACACCACGTAAATCATTTGAAAGCTCTTCATAATCTCCTGTGATAAATACTGTTGCCCATTTATGAGAACTTTCCGCAGTCATAAGACCAATATTCTTCAAAAACTCGTCGACAGCCTTCCATTTAACGTCGAAGAAGCGTAACGACATATAAACCAAAGTGCTAAGATACTTCGTGTCGCATTTCAACTTGCATATTTCAGCCAGATCACCAATGTCGGTTTCCGGAAATTTGTCTTTAAAACTTAATTCTACATCATCAATATCCATTCGATATTCATCACCCGACGACTAACTTGACGGCGAAACCTTTTCAGCTGCCCACCGATGAGCTGAAGCACTGCGCGATTGAGTTTTTCTTTTATTTCCTCTAGGCATTGTGACGATTTTTGATGTAGCGGATGTCTTTTTAGAATAAGTGTATGTATATATTTATTCTAATATCAAGAACCGCAGCGCTACTGTACTTTTCTCGTTCCTTATATACTAATTCTTAGTATAGAGTGTCCTTTGGATCGTACAGAAAACACACTTATCGAAACATATGGGATGATAGGATAAATTCCATAGAACATGGCCAACACTAGTTGAAAGAATGGGAAAAAGTCAGAGTAACATGTCAAAGTGTAAGTGAGAAGAAAAATGTTGCACACGAGGGAAGGATATGGCCGTGTTATTCCAAAGTATAGAAGAAAAGAAAGAAGAATATATGGATAGTACGATGAGGAAAGGACAAAGTTTTTGAGTATATATGAGAGAGGGAAGGAGAATGTCTACAATATTTCAGATTGTTACAGGCATATCAGACGGTCTTAGTGTAATTGCAACAGATATTATCTTAAAGAAAGACGTATATAATAAATGCTACTGCTAAAACTATGATTTTTCCAGACATGGTTTTCCAGAGACCCCTTGAAGATCCTCTGAAGATCCCAAAAGTATGCTCGTTGAATTCTCCATCAATTTTTACCTATGTGAACAAATTTTCACTCGATTTGAAGAAAGAATACGCATT